AATTATACAAACCTTGTGTATTATCATAATAGCAGTACATAATATCTACGGTTCAATAAATCCGCCTTGCTATCAAATTGATAAGCACTCTCATTAAACACAAGAAAACTCCTCCTATAATAACACGATAAATCAAATTCACGCACGATAAAACTTTCATCCCTTTAAAATCAATGTTGCTACTTTGAAAAATATGGATAACATATTAATTTTTATATCATTCATTGAAAAATATAATAATTTAAAATTTATGTATTTTGTATTCTAATATTTTTAAATATTAATAAAAGTTTATCATCGTTTTTATAATCTAATTTTTAAATGAAGCTAAATTCAAGTTTTTAAATTAATCAAATAATATTCAAAAAGTATTGTCCACTTTAAATTATTAACTTAAACTCTAAATCGAAAAATCATATTACTTACAATACAGGAGTATCCAGATCTCGCCCGATCCTACCCGAATTTTACCGATCCGTCCCGAATGTTTAAAAGATTCGGTTAAGAGTTGCATGTACTTACTTATAGCATTTAATATGCATTATTGTGTACGACTTAATTACAATTTAATTGTATTCAAGCATATAAGAAAGAACGTTATATAATATAAAGAATCATCACAAGAACACTCCTAGAAATTGTTAAACGAATTCCAAATGTTAATCGCGATGATTCATCTTGGGACGAAATGTCGCGTGTTAACCGGCTCGATTAAGCTCATTGAAAGCGAGACCGTAACTCGTGACTACAACAGACTACGCAAACATATAAAACTCGAATCAAATAAATTGTTGTCGATAATCACTCCCTTCGCGTGAACGTTTGCTTGGCTCGTGCTTGACCCGACAAATTGTCAAGAATCGTCGCACCGGTTTTAACCGATTGTACAGACTACTTAAGTACACATTGCGGGATAGCTTACGGTATACAATATGTATACTATATGTACAAATCAAAACTCGAAATATATCCTTCTCGAATTCATGTTACTTGTTGCTTGGTATCTCAAACACAAATATCTATACATATAATCAATTGTTTTTTTTTTTTATTTTAAAATAATAATGTATACTTTTGCGTAAAAATCACATAGAATTCAGAAAGCAAATATTTCTAATCGATCATTTTATAACGCGAAAAATTTATTACCAAATATTACGATAAATTAAACGCGCGCAATGAGATTACAAATCGAGATTTCGTTGAAATGATTATGATAATATGAGATGATATGAAAAAATTAATCGCTAATAATAATTTATTTAAACGAAAATATTAATTGAAATAATTTAAAAAAATTAATTAAAAAATTAATTAAAAAAAATAAGATTTTCAATAGAAAAAAAAATTGAAATTATTTAAAAATTTATCGATTTCGAAATATTTAATTTCTTCAATGAATTTTGCTGGAAAATTTTTATTTACAAGGATAGTAACTGTTGTAAATCATCAGTTTCACCTCTACACAGAAGTTTATATTATGGCCACGAATTCGACTTCGTTTCGTTTCCAATGAATAAATACACGGATGTATGTCAAAGAGTCAAAGATTTGGGCCAACAAAAATCATAATAGATTGTTATGTACGACGTTGTCATGTATATGTTCGAAATAATTTACATAATATAATATCAAACTTTAGTATTCTCCAATATGTTATTTTTATCAATAGAGATTTAACGAAATATTTCTTGCTAGAAAGCTCCAATGATTATTTACTGTTTCCACATAGGTATGTTCTATCGCAAACTTTTTTTTTAAACGCATTCCTTAGTAATTACGTAATTTTTTTTTTCTAGCTATTAAAATCTCGGCTTATTGTTAAGAACGGTTTAGACAACGCAATAGAAGGAAATAGAGGCAAACCTCGCGCAAGCTAAATTGTCTACGAGAACATAACCTAATAGTCTCGGTGGGCCACGTGTACAATATTGTTTACACTCGTTCGGCGGATGTACCTATTCACCGAAGTGACTTCTTGATTTTTGTATAAACAAGTAACGAAATGTCTGTATGCTTAAGTGTCAAGCGAATGATTTACTCGTCTTTGTTTTTTATTCACTTAACTAGTTTTTTTTTTTTAATATTACTTTTGTTTCGTTTAAGAATTTCGTTTAGGAAAAAATAACATTTACGAAATTTTTTTCTTTCAAAGCAATTGAGCCACGTGGCCAATTTTTTTGAACAAGCATCGATCTAAATCTGTCTTTAACGTGCGATCCGAGAATTCCGAATGATTTGTCGCAATCGTTTCTTTACGCGTATCGAATATATACGTATAAGCGTATTATTTATTATTTCCCATTGCCCATCCATTTAAAATGGAAAAGGTATATGAATAGTTTATGACGAAGTCAAATGTATGTAGGTAGTACAACATTGCCAGTTACCGATAGTTTTCGATGTTCATCACGTATCAGAGTATAAAGAATGCAATCTTAAGAATGTTGAAGAATTTAAATCATGTTTTAATAGAGTTAATGTGGATAGTAATATAAAAATATTTGAACATTTATTATATATAGAAAATTCATGTTTTAATAGAGTTAATATGGATAGTAATATAAAAATATTTGAACGTTTATTATATATAGAAAATTCTTTTGAATATGAAATATGTTAAACATATTGAGTAGATATGATTATCAAAAATTTACAATAAATAAATTTTTTTTAAATTTAATAATTATTTGAAAAATATATTTTTTTGTTATAAAATCTTATAAACATAAGCTCCAAGATTATAATTAATTTTAAAGAAGATAAATTTTAAATAATTAATAATTTTTATTAAATTTTATTAATTTCTTGAATAGCTGAGCAATTGTTATAATTTTATAAATAATTTTTCTACCAAACTATATATTAACAAAATTTATGTTACGAAATACTTGAAGAAAAAAATTAACTTAAAAGAAATGAAAATAAATTAAAATATAATTATTTATTTTCTAATAACCTAGATTATTTTTTTTCACTTTCATAAAAATTTTCATAAAAAAAAAAAATAAAAATCAAATACTTTTATAAATTTTTATATATTTTAATACATTTTGTTTCAAGTATCTTTACAATTTATAACTTTAATGTATCTATTATGTATCTATAATATATTTGTAATGTATTAATAATATTTAAAAAATGTATATATTATTTAATGCAAATAAATTTATGTTATATTTATAAAATTTTTTTATAGATAACATATCAAATATTTGTGTGATTCATTATACATATTATGCAATCAATCATTATATGATGATTAATATTTTAAAACATTTTAAATCATATCTTGACCGATTTGTGAAATTTAAATTTTTAATTCCAATTGTGTATAAATATCTAAAGTAATTTATCTAAAGAAATTCACATGAAAGTTAACCATTAACTATAGCTATTAAATTATTCTATTATTAATGATATTTTATGAATAAACTTGACAATTTTATAAATGTTTATAATTGTTTTTAATTGCTTAATTGCTAACCATAAACTTTTCTATCTTCAAGAAATACACAAGGCAATTCACAGATCTATAGAATTATAAAAAAAATTAGCATTTTTACTATAGTATAGATTCTATAAATAATTCATGATTAAATTACAAAATATTTTTAATAATGATTTAATAATTCTTTTATATAGAATTAATGAAAAAGAAGTCATTAATATACATACTTTAACAATAAAATAGATAAAAGATTCAAAAGATATATTACAAATTAGAAATTTTTTTAAATTACCTTATTCAAATTAATTTAATATATATTTTAGAACTTATAAAACGCGAAAATATTTATTATTGGAATTATTGAAAGAATATTACAACTAATATAAACATGTTAATGTTAATTTTTTTTTAAATTTTTGTTATACAATTTAAATTTATAATGTATAA